AAGAAAAGAAAGGGGAGAGATAAAGAAGACGGCTATTTGATAGGAAGAATCTTCATTGGAAGAATTAGCCGTGAAAGAAGCTGCACGAAGACAGCCTTGAGACTTATCTTAAGCTAAACTGACCGTCTGCATAGACGAAAAAAGCCATATATTTGATAGGAAAGACGGAGCAAACCGCACCACGCCAACCACCGACAAATAACGCCAATTTAGTACAAGGAAAAGTAAGACAGACAAAAAGGCAGAAACAAACGAACAACTGAGTAGGAATAGAGAAGTATGATATACCTGTCACACCCTCAAACCACCCGCAAATTAAGTTTGACTTTGAGTAAAGAGAAAAGGAGAAGCACGTCGACACAATACTGGCATTTAGTGCTGGGGGTAAAAAGGAGGACGGACAGAGAGAAACAGCAGAGGGAAAGAATAAGTAGGACCTAAGGCCTTCGCCAACCACCCGCAAATTGAAACAAGACACCATAATTTTTTTTAAACACAAAACAAAGACGAATCGGCTCATCACCTGTGTGGGGTTCATTTTTGGAAAACATCAGCACAAAAATGTGGAAAATTTGGACCTCAGAATTCTCATATTTAAAAAAAAGCAAGCATAATAATATACAACATCAATGGATCAATGAGAAACGACATAGATGAAAATGTTTTATATAGTTGTATACGTTGATATCCAATAACATAACAAATTGTCAGCATCACGTAAAACTTTCCGAATTTATCACAATCCACATGATATGTGAAACGTGGGAACAGATAGCATAAATCTCTGTAAGCCCAACATTAAAAAGTCATCTTAGATCTAGATATCTTAAATACTCAACAGAACAATATTATGACAACAAAATATGTTTATATACAGGGTGATCCAAAACACTGTACAACTTTTTCTGTTAATATTTTCCTCCACGCTGAAGTTTTGCGTTTCAAATTTGTACACAACATTTGGAGGCCAAAAGGAATTTGTCCGATATTCATTTTAGATAAATCCACACAATAGTTTTGATCTACATAGTGCGTAAAAAAAAAACATTTTCAGCTATGTCCCCACTTTTGTAGCATGACGCACTAGTTCGCACTAGGCCAACCACTAAAAATCCCAACGATCTGGTCATCTTGCAAACTACAGTAGTCTAACAGGCCAACAGAAGTTCGCAGAATGTTTCCCTTAAGTTTCCTCAGGCTGCTGAGATTATGGTTAAGATTAGTAAAGAGTAGAGAGTTTTTAGTAAGTTTCGCACAGGGTACGGAATTAATGTTAAGGTGCCCGTGTGGCCTTCTTTGATGCCAAATGGGGAAATGGTCCTTCAGTTAGGACCTGTAGAGAATCAGAACTAAAAATTCCCCCCAAAAACGACCACTTCAGGTCAAATACACACCATCTGAACCCCTTTAAACGTCATTAAGGAGCAGAATTCAGTAGATGAGCCCTATGAGACGTTGTCTGCAGCAATGACTTTCTTACATTTCAACGGTCCACATTCTCAAAGCAGGCCTTCATCTTCGACAGTACCATTTTCCCGTTCGCGAAACTATAAGAGGACAGCACTGTGTTCATGGTACCTCGGTCGTCTTGAAAAGCGTGAACATCTCCTCTATGACATTTTGTTCCTTGGCAAAGCCCAAGAATATTTAACTTTCAGGTTATATATCAACTCCACAAATGCTGCCCTTCCCCCCACCTCCTCCTTATGTTGTCTCTGGAAACAGCTCCATTCTGTAAGGTATACCGTGTGTGTGGCTTTGAGTACTCATGGTTGAGTGGATCCTTGTGTTCGGCACCACTGAGCATTACGAACGACGCGTTAAAATGTGTAGAGTCCAAAGGAGGACCTATTGACCATTGGTTCTCGGAATTCCAGAGTTTAAGCAATATTATTCTAACTTTGAAGGAGAAAAGAAATATTGTTTAAAGGTTGCAGGGATGGAAAGATTAGATTTAAAAAATAACAGGAAAGAAAAAAAACCCAATCATTTCCTTATTTTCCTTATAAGATCTTTTAAATTGGTGCATTTTGCATTTATAGGTGGTTTTTATAAACGCCATTTTCGTTTTTGAAAATGTTTCTTCTTTGTGGATTTTATATCAAACAAATTCCTTGTAAATGAATTATATCTGTTACAAACTACAACATTCTAGTACAAATTACGTGTGAGTTATTTAGAAAAAAAGTTGAACAGGTTGTTGGGGGGGGGGGGTTGGATCACCCTGTATGTTGTCATAATATTATATTATATAACATATGAAGGATTAAGCATAGTCACAAACTGAAGGGATATTAATTTCAAAAACGTGTAGACTGTTAGATGGGAGATCAAACAATAATACTAATACTCAACCAACAGGTGAACAGAAATGTAGTTATGAATCTACAAGCTCTTAAAATTGATATCCTCACCATTTGTCGTTTGCGACCATGCTCTTTCTTCGACTGGATTCTTCATATATACATGTATAATAATAATGATGTATATATGTATAACAATATGTATTAATGAATGGAGACATATGCAACCTCACAGTGACACAAAAGATCAGGGGAAAAACCTGCCCCCCGACACAATGTCTATAGAAGTATTCTTTTTCATCATATTAATATTGTTTATTCTTCTTTCCCCAGGTGAACATTTCTTTAGCTTAGAAATGTTGATTCCGAACAAAAAGGAATAATTAATATTATGTACGCTTCAAAATGTGGTAAAAGATACAAAATATATGAGTTTTATGTTCCATTCAGAACAGTTAAGGCCTCTTCATTGAATGCATAAATGTATATATATATATATATATATATATATATATATATATATATATATATATATATATATATATATATATCAGTGGGTTGTCTCAAATATATAAATATGGAAACATTTCAAATCATCATCCTTGGTCAGTTTGGGTTCAAACCCACACCTTGGGCCTCTACAATCCATTGAAAACAGCTCACATTATAATATACCTTTGGGGAAATGATGCAGAGAGGTGTGGCATAGAATGGTTTGGTTTTAACGTCCAACACAGTAAGGCTATATAAAGACAGAATCTCCAAATTTACGGGCCATCGCCGATATTGGTAGGACTGTATTCATTACGCGGAGACAATTGGAAAGTCCCGTAACAATTCATTTTTTAAAAAGCCCCCCCCCCCCCCCCCACCCCCACTCCATCCCAAATCAGGATTCGAAGCAAGTTTATCCGTATCATAACATTCAACCAAAACATCAGGGGGACGTCTAGAGATGAATTGTAATAATATTCTGCTAATCTGTCCCAAAACAGCAGCAGCGAGCTTAGTGCTATCTTGTACAAACTATTTTTTTTCTATTTTTTGTAAGTTTTAGTAGAGGTTTTACGACGTTCGCAACTGCATAAGGCCATATGAGCGCCAGAAGATTAGAGGAGTTACAAGAGAGTAACAAACATAAAAAAAAGAAGAAGGGGAAGTAAGGACGATAGATGTTTCATAGGAAAGAAAGAAGCAAACCACACTAGAGCACCCGCCAACCACGTTTTCCGTAAATCATTTTAGAAAGCACAGGATTCCTGTCTCGAGAACGGGAGTTGGTACAAAATTAAAATGGAAACTTTATGAAACACGGACACTAAATCATTCAATGAAATAATTATGGGCTCAAAGGGGAAATTTGTCAACAGTCTTGACAGAAGTGGCACAAACTCTCCTTATTGTTTCTGTTTGTTTCCTTGTTAAAGTAGGCGTTTTACGGCACTTGCAACAAAAATAGTTCAAAATAAGTGCCTAAAATGACAGGGCGTAACAAAAGAGTAACAAACACAAAGAAGAAGAATTAGGGATGAGGACAATAGAAGTTTGATGGGACAGAAGGCGCAAGCCACACCAAAACATCCGTTAAAAATTCCCCAAAATCAGAACTTGGGTGGGATTGATACAAGATAGCATTCAGCTTGCAAAAATCTGTTACTAACTATGGAAAAGATATTAAATCATAGCTTGTGCTATTCTACATTAAAAAGCTACATTACTCATACATATTCCCACAAAGCAAGGAAAATGTTACTACGGGGTGCCCCTAGGATCTGGACTCATAGAAAATCTTATCAGCTGTATTATGTGTGGCATCGGGGTGAAATCAGGCGGCGCTCGTCAAAATCATGAAACTGAAGAAACTGACATTTGTCCGCCTCTTGGGCAACTCTTATTGAATTTTCACTTAAGAAGAAGTCCAGAAATTAGGGACACCATGTATTCAAAAAAATAAATCATTGTGTCCAATGCAGTCGATACAACATAATAAAGGTGAATTCCCAAGTCGTCTGTCCCCTGTTTTCCATTGATTATTTGTGACGAGCAGTACATGTATCTAAAGTAAAGTATAACACCCCCCCCCCCTTTTTACAAAAATACAGCTTCTGGTGTCTCAGGTCTCTAAACGTCACAACTATCACAGCCCGCTACATCAGCATAATAATATGTGGTATAATGGTTAAGCGCTTCACTTTCGCACGCTAAAGACCTGAGTTTGAGCGGGTAGAAAATTTTCTATGGAGTAATCTCTGTCTTTCTGCTGGGATATTGTATTCTTCTCAGCCTCGATTGGCCCTGATAGACAGGGTCTGAAGCCTGCCTCCCAAAAGATCTAATTTGTGTCGGTGGGGGCATTAAATCTCCTATGGTTTTTTTAAATTAATAATGATTTCAACAGCTTTTTGTTTTCTCTTCTCTATGCCAAACAGTTTAAACTGGGGCGCTATACTTTACTCTTGCTCTTTTGGCTTCGTCTAATGGCAAAGAATACTGTCTCCATTGCGTAGTTGGTACATATAAACTATAATTTATATCGTTCATATAATACACTGTTTTATATCATCAGCACTTCCAGGAGATGAGATCGGTCTCCTTAGGCGAGTTTCTGGTTTTCAGATTTCTCTCCTCTGTTCTTTTGTTCTCCGTGTCACTTAGCCCCTAACCTTTCAACCCCTTCTCTCTCTTTCTCTCTCTCTCTTTCTCTCTCTCTCTCTCTCTCTCTCTCTCTCTCTATCTCTATCTCTCTCTTTCTCTCTCCCTCACTCTCACTCTCCTTCCAACCCTCTCCCTCACCCCCACCATCCGACCCTTACCTTTCATCCCTTCCCAAAGCGCTCCCTCTCTCAATCACCGCCCTCCGTCCCCTAAATCAGTGAACATCTCCTCCTCTTCCCCTCTCTTCCCCTCCGCCCCTCTCTTCCCCGACACAGTGGCAACATGGGCTGGTTCCTCAGCCTCAGCCTCAGAGACATAGCTGGATCCCGGCAGACTCTCCCCGAGGTCAACTGTGTCGGTGTCTGAGTTGTACGACACCATTTGCTGGGAGGAAGAAAAACAACGAGAAATGTGTTACTCCTCTCAAATAGATAATTAGACAGACAGACAGACAGACAGACAGACAGACAGACAGACAGACAGACAGACAGACAGACAGACAGACAAACAGACGGACATTGTCTGTGTTTGTGTCTGAGTTGTACGAAACCATTTGCAGGGAGGAAGAAAAAAACGAGGAATGTTTTATTCCTCTCGCCTCTCAAATAGATCATTAGACAGACAGACAGACAGACAGACAGACAGACAGACAGACAGACAGACAGACAGACAGACAAACAGACAGACAGACAGACCGACAGACAAACAGACAGTGTCTGTGTCTGAGTAAAACGCCATCATCTCCTCGGGGCAAAGAGGGCGAAATACGTTATTTCTTGTGGGAAGACAGACAAACACACAGGGAGATAAACATGAAGGGGAGAGACAAACAAGAAGACAGAAACGCATGAGAGAGAGGGAGGAGGCACAGACAGAGAGAGAGAGAGAGAAAGAAAGAGAGAGAGAGAGAGAGAGAGAGAGAGAGAGAGAGAGAGAGAGAGTGAGTGTACGTGTGAACTAGACGGTTGCGTATATTATAACCTAACTATTGCCTATCTATACTTACCGGCAAGGCTCTCCCTTTGGTTTCTATGGGCAAGAGGAAACAGGAGATCCCACACAACATACACAACGCACCGTACACCCAGGTGGCTGCCTGTATAGAGTTGGACAGCAGTACCTGTCGGGATTGACAGATGGATTGATGGATGGATGGATGGATAAGTGAACGAATAGATATGAACACAGATATCATCAAAATTGTCATTGAATGGGATTAACTTGGATGGATGGATGGATTGATGAATGGATGGATGGATGGATGGGTGAACAAATAGATATGACCACAGATATCATCAAAATTGTGATTGAAAGGGATTAACTTGGAGGGATGGATGGATGGATGGATGGATGGATGGATGGATGGATGGATGGATGGATGGATGGATGGATGGATGGATGGATGGATGGATGGATGGAAGAAAGCTCGACAACATTTTACCAATTTCAACAATTACAGTTCGTGTGAGAGAGAAGCACATTGACGTGATGACGGTCATTCAGCATTAATAGCAAAAAAAATCGACACCATCATCAACAATCGAGAGCATCACCACCTCCACCACCATAACAAAAACAACAACAACAACAATAATAACAACAACAACTGCAACAACACACAGAACAATAACAACAACAACAATTACAACTCCAACATCTAACAACAATCGACATCATCATCACAATGACAACAGCAACACCAACACCAACAAAAACAACAAACGACATCATCAAACCACCAACAACAACAATAAGAACAACAACAACAACAACAACAGCAACAACAATTATAACTACAACTACAACAACTAACAACAATCGACATCATGAAAAATACCAACAACTACAACAACAACAAAAACACCAAAACGACATCATCAAAACCACCACCAACAACAACAACAACAACAACAACAACAACAACAACAACAACAACAGCAACAACAACAACAACAACAACAACAACTAGTACCCACCTGCGCCACAAAAGGTGTCAACATGGCACCCACCCTGGCCCAAGCTGAAGCAGTACCCATTCCCAACGTCCGTATAGAGGTCGGGTACAGCTGAAAAGAAAAATTGGTGGTTCTCGGGTGCTCTGGCGTGATTTGCTCTTTCTTTCCTATTAAACAAATGGTCGCTTTTAAGCACAAGCGGGCTAACCCAGATTTCGGGGGTTTCCAGAAATCTTGACCTACGCCAAAAGAGGGCATTGCTCTAGCCATAGGAGAAGTTTGGTTTCATTGGTGTGTATGATTGTTTAGTTATAGAGAAAACTCTCGTTGTCTTTTAAAGAAACTGAAAAAGGGGCAAAAACTTTACCTTCGATTTTCTCAAAACAGCATTTTTCGAAATAGCCCCCTTGTGCTTAAAAGCCACCATATAATATCTTACTTATCTTTTCTCCTTGTTTTTCTTTTTATGTTACTCTCATTTTTATAATTCTTATTAAAGTCCTCGGCCCTTGGCTACCCTAGACTTTCAAAGTTCTATCTGCTCAGTACCTAGTTTTGAGAAATTTAATGTTGAAAATCTTTTGAGTTTCACATCATGTCAAGCTTTTTCGAATGCAATTCTTTGAATCACTTGATAACTTCACGGTATAAACTTACGATTTTGACAGAGCAGATAGAAGATTTTGTTTCTGATCTCATGGTCTCAATACCTCAAAACAGCCAAAAATATCACATTGAACTTTGTAATTCTAAGACAGTGACTTGTATGACCTATTAGTGTTGAAGTGCCGTAAAACTTTTACAAAAACTTTATGAAAAATGAAGATTTGAAAAACTTTTACACCACCATCGATACAATTTAGACCATTTTAATCTTTTAAGAGTTCCTAGAAAAGGGGGTAAAAAATTAGATGAAAGACCGTTTGCCCACCTTGCTCCATCAGTTTGGAACTCTCTTCCCCAACCCTTGAGACATACAACATCTGAGTCTAAATTTCAAAAGGTTTAAAGACATTTAATGACATAATTTTTATGTCAGTAGATTCATGTTCAGTACAATGTTAGAAAAATGACTATGTATCCATTTATGTATTTTGTGAATAGCATCGTGTATATTGTGTTGTTATATTATGTGCTCATTTCGTGACGATGTGTAAGCGTGCGCGAGTGATAAGCAAGTAGATGTGTGTGTATGTGTGTGTGAGCGTGTATGTGCGCGCGCGCGAGTGTG